CCAGCTTTCCTACACATTTACTCCTTCTCCAGCTTTCCCACCCAGCCATTCCAGTGCTGCCACCAGTGGCTTCCCACTGCCAGCAACGGGACAAAAACCAACTCCAGCCTTCTGTCCTGTGAGCAGCTGCTCTTCCACCCCAAATTCAGCACCTCAGCTCCAAAGCTCTCCATAATTGGATATTGATCACAGTAAGAATCTCCTTTCACCTGAATAAGAGAATTTAGACCAAAAAGAATGGACAGAAGTGCCTGGGTAGAGGCAGCTCTGGGTGCAGCCCTCAATTCCTCGATGCCAGCCCCCAGCCCAGGTTTGTCCCCTGTCCTGCACCCCCAGCCCAGGTTTGCTCCAGAATTTATTCAAACTTAAAAACAGTATCCAAAGTGACCAATTCCTTTATCCCAATGGAAAGAAGCAGCAGGGCAGAATGTTTTACAAGCAGGGGCTTGTAACATCAGCTCTTCTAAGTGAAGACAGGAGCAGAAATGAGAGAAGAAACTTTAACAGGATCTCTGCAGCTGAGACCATCCATATTTTGTTCAAATAATGAAGAAAACAAATAATAAAATGAAAATGTTATTTCTTTTTTTTTTGGGGGGGAGAGAAGGGGGGGAAGGAAGGGACTTAAATCCCTAACAGGCATCATTTGGCTGCAGATTAATTTTATACTATAAAAATAAATATCATTGCTGTCAGCTAAATCAGAACTAAAATGAGAAAAAGCTGGAAAGTCTTGCTACAGATCTGACTGGGCTTTGTCCTCCCATTTCACAAGGATTAACTTGTTGTACCCAGAGCTGTGCTCACACCCTCAGCATTTCTGCTCCTTCCACTGAGAACCTCCTGCCTTGGCCCTCCTGTTCCCCCGCTGCTCGTGCTGTCACCCCAGGACCAAGCAGCACTTACTCTGTAACTGATGTTACATTTTCCTGTCCAGCAGGTATTACTGGATCATCTCTCAACTTATCATTGGGAAGCTGGGGCGGTAAGAACTCCACATCCTTTTTCTTTGGAACTTTATAATACTTCCAAGTGGTGTCAGCTTCATCCTCCTCCAGGCTGACGGCGGTGCCCACGTACACGGTGGGCTCGATCACCTCGGGGAAGGCGGCGGGGAAGGGCTGCGAGAGCCCGTCCAGCCTGTCCTCCATGGCCTTGCTGGGCACCAGGGGCTCCGGAGTTGGCATCTGGTAGAAGTGTTGGCTCTGGGGCGTGGAGGGGGCTTTGGGCACGCCCTCGTCGGGGCCGTCGCAGGGGTGGGGGCTGAGCGGGGGCGGCTGGGGGGAGCTGCCCAGCTCGGCCCCGTGCAGCGGCGCCGCCTTCGCGCCCTCGGCGCCGCGGATGGCGGCAAACCGCACTTGGCTCTCGGGGGCGGCCATCACCAGCCTCTGGCTGGCCGACTCTGCCTCCATGGCAACGTCATCGCTGATAGATACACGATGATGAAAAGGAGTCAAAGGGCGTTTCTGTGGCTTATCCCCTTTGTCTTGCTTCTCGTTTGTCTTGTGCTTCGGAGCCGCCGGCTGCTGGGGGCCCACAGGTGGGGCCTGCCCCTGTTGACCTGAATTTCTTGGTTTGAGATTTTTGTGCCTGCAGAATTAATACAGGGGAAAAGACTCCACATTAATCTTTCAAATATGTCTGTGGTGTTCTTTTTCACTAGATAAGAACCTGCTTCTAGGCCGTTAAACAGCCTGTGAGAGACAGCTGAAACCGAAACTGCTCCAAAGTGAAGCTGCCCCTTCTTTCTGACCACAGTTTGAGTGACTTGAGCAGCACTGTATGATTTTTGAGCAGCACTGCATGATTTTTGAGCAGCACTGTGTGATTTTTGAGCAGCACTGTATGATTTTACAACACCATTTTAAAAATTGTTACACGTGTCCTATGAGCCAAACACACAACTAATGCTCAGAATTAAGACAGTATTTTATAACAGCTTTAGCAGAAATAGATTGTCACATGAAAACCTCATCATTTGTAACTTGTGCCAGCGCTGGTGAATCAGTAGAACAACGTAAGAATTAGTGAATGGCTTCTGGAATTCCAACACTGACACCAGCCAAGAGAGCTGCCCAAGCCTCACTGGGTTAAGGACTGCAGAATTAACACCAAGAACTAAAAAGCCAAGCTCACTCCTACTAAAGCTATTTCCAAGCTATTACAAGGCTTTTGTAGCTGCTTACTTACAAATTTAGCAAGTGTGGGAAAAAGAAAAACCCAGTGTCTTAACTGCATTAATACAGCTGGGTCTGTTCAGTGCAAATGCACTTGAGCTCAAACATTTCATCTGCAAGTTCAAGATGCCAACTTCCAGGATCATCTGACAGAATGAGGCACTGAAATGCTGAAGTGTAGAATGAAATGTTTATGATTAAGCCATTGAACTGCAGGTACATGCTCAGTGCCTGGCAGTTCTTTGCCACTCTTCCATTAGCAAAGTTAAGAAGCACTTGTATTGAAAAAACAGGATTAGGCAGGGATAAAAGGTAAGAGGTATCAAAATCTATTTTTACTTTAAACTCTTACACACATCCACATGTTTTTCTCCCCTTAGAATTCAAAACACGTGGAATAATAAGGGGGTTTAGGTCTTTGCAATTTCTCTTTAGGCAATTGCATATTTCTAATACACACCTCACATAGTTAATTGACTGGTTTGCTCTTAACTAGTGCTATCATAGCTAAATTCTCCTTGAAAAGAACATTTAATCCTCCTCCACACCCCAGCTCTTCTCAGGACACAAGTATTTCCACAGAACTTTAACCAACCATTTCAATAAGGGAGTTTAAAAAATGCATTTCTCTCAAAATGCTCCATCCTCCAGACAGTAATTTTTTCCTAAGATACCAATATTCCCTGCAAGGTAATCAGTGTAACATTTAAATCACAGAAAGTGTTTAAACCTATTGCAACACTTCAGTCACCTAAAGATTAATATTCTGCCATAAGTACAGAAACTGAGAATTCAATGAAATTAATGTTTCCATTTCATTTAAATACCTGTATTAACAGTGTGGCATTGCAGCCTCAAAAAGGGCTGTATTAGATACATATATTATATTTTTTTAATCTTAGACATTTTGCCCTTTGTTTTGTTCCTTTTTTCCCAGGTAATACATAAAACACACACTGGCATCCACTCCCAGAGGAGCAGTTTTCCACACAGCCACCCATGGAATGCCACCATTCCCAGAGAGCAGGTCTGGGGGTTTATTCCTAGAACAGATTTCTCCTTCAAGGCTAATGCCACAGCCCTCTGAAAATAAACAGCATTTCCTTGCCATTGCTGAGAGCTGCCCATGAGGAGGTGACTGCCCACACCCACATGGAATTCAGGAATTGTCCCTGCCCTGGCAGCAGCTCCCCCAGCCAATTCACTGCACTCCAACCTCTGCAGTGACTCCTTGGGCACAATTTCAAGACCTCCAATGACATTTAGGAGAGGAGATACAAATTTTGTTCCAGCTTTCCCTCCAAGCAGCTCCTGCCTAATGACTCCTGCAGGAGAGATCAGGAGCCTCTCGTGAGCACTGGAGCCCGTGAACATCTCGGGGCTGTGCCTGTGCCAAGTGCTGTACCTTGAACAATTGCAATTTGTCCTCTGCGTGGCTTCAACAAAATCCCACGATGCCACCTTGTCAGCTGTCTCCTCCTCACACAGGCCATTTGATGTAGCAGAATATTTCCTCCTAGGATTCAATACCAGGAGAGTTATTTGGGAGCAACATATGTTCTTCTCTTATCTTCTGGCAAAGCTCAAGAGCGGTTTGGTGACAAGGGATTCAGCAAAGAAAGGATAAATTGCCTTTTCCTGACATATTCAACTGAGAACTGAGTAAATCATTGCTGAATAGTTAGGGAAAAATGAACTTCTTTAGAAATGGTTTGTTAGAAGAGTAAAGTACATTGCAGCAGCAGTCACAGCACCCTTAACAGAACTAATTGCTACAAGGGACACACAGAATATTGGCATTTTTGGCTTCAGAGGGTAAATACATACTTGTTCTGTGCTCTGTTCATGTTGCACTCTTGCCAGACTCTGTCCACCACTTGATTGGCCAATTTTCTGGGGATTTTGCCACCGTGATGGCTGGTACTGTCTGAGATAAATCCATCTGAAACTGAGGAAAACTTCACCCATTTCTGGGCAGACTGAGCATCAACTGGAAAGCAGCACCAGAGGAAAGAGATTCAGGCAGTGAGACAATGCAGTGTCCATCACTCCAGTTCAATTAACCAGAGGAAGAAAATTGGCTTCTTTACTCAGTGTTAGAAAACAGAAACACACAGAAAATTTAGGAATAGTAGCAAATTATTATAGGAGATTTTTAAAAGCACCATATATGTTTATGTTGTAAGTAGGGTGGATATTCTTTATCTTTGATGAAAGTGACCTGAAATAAAACACGACTTGAGCAAAGTCAAGATTATGATTAAAAAACAGGGTCAAGCTTGGGTAACAGAAGATCATTGAAGGAAAAAAGAAACAACACCTCTTCTGCACAATAAAACTTATGTAAATGTCACCTGAAGCCATCAGTGAGTGTCACCTGCTGTGACCTAAATGAGCTCCCCAGAAGCCCAGCTCACACCCAGGGCAGAGGGCACAAACCACAGCCAGTGTTCCTGGGCTGGGGAAAACAGCACCTGGCACTGCTGACTGAGGCCACAGTGGGGCTATGGAGCTGTGTCAGAACACAGGCATGCCCACAGAGGGGAA